GTAATTCCTAAATGAGGGCAGATTAGGCTGAAGGAAGCCCTGAGAGCTCTGCTGTGGCTGTCATTGCTCGTGCCAGCCCCCCTGAGAGGCAGAGCAGGTACTGGGGGTGGATTCTGCTCTGTTTAGCACCACACCAGCTCAGCACTGTCCTGCTGGGTACTGAGCAATGCACCCAGTGTCTGCTGTGGAGATTTTCCTTTTCCAGCCCTTCCTGCCCATCAGGGTGGTGCCACTGCCCAGCTGTACCCTGGGGTTACTGTCCCTCTTCCCTCCTGCACCCGGCTCCCTACAGAGAGCAGCTGAGCAGGTGCTGGAGATGCTGGAGGTGCTGGGATGAGCCCTTTCCGCTGAGAGGCAGAGTTGCCAGAGCCCTGCAGCTCCCAGAGCCCTGCAGCAAGCCCAGGTGGAGCTCTGGCCCTCCCCAGACAGGACACACAGCCTCAGCAGCACAGGCTGCCCTGGGGAGATGCTGAGGTGCTGCCAAGCTGGCTCATCCTGCAGGAGCAGGGAGAGCTCTGAGCTGGGCTGTGTAAAACACCTCTAAACAAAGCCCTGGCTGGGCAAGCCAGGTGCCAGCATGGTTAGGAATGCTCCAAGGAGAGCAGCCACTGCAGAAAAGCCCAGAGTTGCCTCACCACGGCCACAAGGGCCTGATGAGCTCATGTCACAGTGACCATCACCAGCTGGACATGCAGGGTGTGCCATGAGTGCTTTGTGCATGGGTTTGGATGGTTTTGCTGCAGACCATCACCAGCTGGACATGCAGGGTGTGCCATGAGTGCTTTGTGCATGGGTTTGAATCGTTTTGCTTCAGTTCAGTCCATTGGAAAAGCTATTTATTGAGAGCTGCTTCAGTAATGAGGACAGCATTTTAGTCTTTCCTCCTTGATATTATGACAATAGGAGCCTTTTCACTTCAAAATGTGAACTCTTGTACTTCAAAAAGCCTTGCAGTTCCCTCTGAGCACCCAGCAGCAGGAGGCTTAGAGGAATGTTTTGGAATAAGGCTGATCCTTAGGGAGTTAAAGACACAAGGTTCCTCAGCTTGGTGCCACCAGAAGGTAAGAAGAAATTATGTCACCCCCCAGCAATCCTGGTGCTTCCTACCCCCTGGGCAGGGAACTGACACTGCCAGTCTTCCCTTGCAGCTTTCATAACCAAAGCAAAATCCTCAGAGCCTCTCCCTGGTGGCTGCAGGAACCAGAGCCAGCCCTGAATCATCTCTGCCACAGTTAACCCCCGCCATTTGCCTGGGTGGTTACCCATGGGAAAACCTGTACCAGGAGGGACAGGGCACAGTCTCAAGGCACAGATCTCACAGGAAGATGCTGATGGGAGGGAGCAGCATTGTTCATCCTCAGTGGAAAGAAGAATGGGTATCCCAGTGTGCTCACTGTCATCAACTCTGCTTGCAGACTTCCATGGCTCCTTTCAAGTGTTCTAGGAAAAACTGTTCTGCTTGAACTACAGCACAGAAGTTGCAGTTTATAAGGGTTTATAGGGTAGTTTATAAGGTTCCAGTCCTAGAATCCCCTCCACATTTCTTTTGTCTCTGAAGGAGCAGTGCTGCTCATTGCACTGGAGGGAAGCAACTTTGTCACTGGGCAGAGGGGAGGAAAGGCTGCCCCTCCTTTACTGGGGATCTTCAAGAAGGAAACAAGAAGAAAATCCCCAGGCAGAGAGCAGAGCACACGTGCAGAGTTAGGGGGTGAATTTCAGGACAACACAACTCTGCTCACAACACTGAAATCCCTGTCAAGCACTTTCTTGTTGGTAATTATAGGCCTGTTGGACAACGAGGAATAACTAATCTTTTTTAGCAACAAGGATTAAATCCTCTTTTACAGCCACACAGGCTTTGACTAAGCAGAATCCCTTTATTGGCCATGAGAGAAATTACTGGTGGTGAGTCAAATTGCCCTCTTCCAAACAACTAGATTTTAGTATAAGCAAATGAGGTTTTACACATTTAATGCCTATATTTATTATCTAATTAAAGCATTTTTTAATTTCTAAAAAATATAAAATAAGTTCTTTGACTATTCATTACTTCTTAGAATCATAGCAAAATCCTTTCTGAGAAGTACCAAGCACTGTCTGACTAGTGCAGCTTAACAGCTTTTGCAAAACCACTCCATCAGAGTGCTAATTATAACACAAAATGGTAAATGGAAAATAGAATAGAGGCGAGACAGCTCAGCAAGGCTAGACAGTTGTTTAATGAGATCCAATCTTGCTGTCTGATTGTCTTGACAAAGAAAATGTGGGGTCAGTTATGGTGCTACACAGGAAATCCTTAAGACACTAGATAAAAACAAAACAGGGCTGAACAGACAAAGCAGGGGAAGAACTCTAAAATGGGCAAAGCCACTGATCTGGAGGAGGTGCTGGATCCTGCCATAAGACCTGAAGAATGGGCTGGAAATAGCTGTGCTTGAAACAAAAAGGTAGAATGAAATATTTTACAGGAGGTATCTGATAACCTTCAAGAGTGAGGTAACAGAAAACAGATAAAAATCAAAGTTTCAAAGTACAAAATGGGAGTAAGAGATCAGTAGTGAAAAAATCCAATATACTCTGAGACCTTGTTGAATGAAATAGCAGGAGAGGAGAGATTTGCAGATATATCTGTAGATCATGGCTCATTTAAGTGCCACTGCTATGATTTGATAGTGAAAGAAGGCAAATACAATCCTCTGATGGACCAAAAGTGTTTCTTTGAGAGCTGACGTTAATGCCATGGTACAAAGCATCACTTGGTCTTTACTGGAGTGGTAAAGCATCATCCTTGTCCAACAGGGATTTATTCAGCCTTGAACAAGTGCTGTAACAACACATGGGAACCAATGGGATGACAAAGCAGAATGTCAGGAAAGGGCAAAGGAGGTTTGTTTGTTTGCAAGGAGAGGCCGAGAGGGGATGCAGTTGTACAACATGTGAAAAAAGAAATAGAGCCGTTGAAATGAAAGGGAAACATTTGTGCGAGTAAGCTGAGGCCTGAGTGATTGATGGCTCCCTTGTGGTTGGAAATTAAGAAGCAGAGCTCCAGGGTGAGTGACCAGAGCAGCTCACACTTGTGTCTCACCCTGGCTGTGTGTTTCCTGTCCCTCTGCAGCCCGGGCAGGCGGCACGAGCTGCTCAGGGCACAGCCAGAGCTGCTCCCTTTGAGCCCTGCTTTGCATTTCTGACCCTGCTGCTTCTGAAACAGGACCTCCACATTCTTTGGGAACACAGAGGAGGACAAGAAAGCAAATTTTGAGAGGACTGCCCCCCAAAATGAAGATAGATTGAGTGTCTGTAGTAGGAGTTCTCCTTAGGAGCCAAATCTCTCTACAAGGGCCAGCCAGGGGAGCAAAGCCCAGAGGAACCTGGCAGGCAGTGATGTTTCCAGGGGTCTGGTGAAATTCCCCGTGGACTCAGCCCACCAGGCTGCCCCCAGCACACTGCTGTGCTTGTGTGCATGGTTTTGGGTTGATAACAAGTTAGGGTTGCACTCCCTGTTTAGGGAATTGAATAGGCATTCTCCCAGACATAAAGAATTCTCCATCCTTTCAGTGTAACAACTGTGCCAGTTTAAAAGAGGTGGGGGAAGGCACCAGTTGAGTTTTAGCATTTACTGAACAAAGAGAGATATTGAACAGAAAGGCAGACTAACTTCACAGTGAGCTTATCACTGCCTTTGTTGCCTGTGGCAGTGGCTGACTGCTGTGGTGATACCAACCCACAGGATATTTTCACTTACCTCATGGGCAGCATTTCTGGGACAAGAAAGCTGTGTACACAGCTATGAGAGATAGCTGATTGCATCTGAAAATGTACAATTAAAATGCTGGGGGTGTGAGCTGGTTGTGGAGCATCTGACCAGACTTTCTGCCAAGCAGAGGGACCCATTTATGGTAATTTTTTTACAGCAGTGATGCCTTCTGCCATTGGAATGTCCTCAAAAAAAAGAGAGAGGGGGGAAGTGCTAAGTCCATTGCCTGGGTATTATCAAGAACCTTTCCTACTTTATTCTCTGAATGGCAAAACTTGCTGCTTCTCATTTATTTCACAGCAGGATCCCTTCCTGTGATGTGTGTGTAAATTGCCCTTGGAAACATTAGGAAAACGAATGTTTTGGGCTTGAGATCCTGTTTCTTCAGGGGTGATGGCTTTAACAATGGACTGTAGCACTGGAAATATTACTACAGCCTGTAGGTTTACAGGGATTGTCTGCAGAAATTGATCCTAGCTCTTGAAGAACCAAAAAAAATTGTTCCTAGATCTGCAAATCTCCTGGGAAGCCCCAAGGCCTGTGTGAGCAGCACCTCACCTGGTGGAGGCTGCCATCAACCACCTCCACTCATCCCCAGAGCTCCCCTGCTCCTCTCCAGTCCCAGCAACAAGGAAGCAAAGGCACAAGCTCAAGTGCCCAGCAGTTGCTTGCCAGAGGATCTTTTCCAAGTACCAAAACTTCAACAGCTGTCTTCTTCACAGTGGTGGTGGAAAGCAATAAAGTAACCCATTTATTAAATGGTAACTGCTATGGGGACAGTGGATGGATGTATAAACTGCATTCAGTTCACATGTAAGGGCTTGTATTGTAGATAAACTGCTTGAGGGAAGGAACACACTCATTCTCTTTATGGTTTCACAGCCTGTGATTTTACCATAATGCTGTAACATAAAGCTCAGAAAACATTCACCACTACATTTTCAATAGCATTATCACTATGTACTGGTTAACTCAGGCTCCCTGTGGAAAAATGGCTTGTCCTGATCCTGTTGTGAGGCAGTGGGAGGAGCAGGAGCAGAACACAGAAATCCTGTCTGCCTGTGCTATGAAAACACCGCTGACCAGGTGGCACAGACACTGCCCCACAGGCTGATATTGGTACTGAGCTGACTCTGACCTTTGTTTTTAGAAACAAAGGGTAAGAGGAATTAAGAAATAAGAATTAGAATTAAGGTAAGAGGAACTGATGTGCTGAACAGCTATTACTTTTTCTTTCTGTCTTCAGTGCAAGGAGTTCACCTTCCACACTGGCTACGAGGTGCTCGTTCAGCGGCTGCTGGAGGGGAAGAAGATGTGCAAAGATGTGGAGGATTTGCTCAAGCAGAGGTATGAAAATCAGAGTGTGAACAGCCTCCTTTTTTTGTCTCATTTGGCATCCAGAAGGGAATAGCAGGCTGTTTCTCAGTTTGGTATTGTTAGGAGCTTACATAGAAAAGCCTGAATAATTTGAATCCCAGCCTTGTGATGTGAAAGTAGACCAATAAAAATCTCAAAGACTTGAGAAGGGAAGAGGTTGAAAGAGTCAGAAACCCAGAGCTCCACTAAGACCCCTCATTATGGGTCCAGAAGTACACAGTAGCACCTACATTCACAAGTAACATTTTTAAGTTTCCCCTTTTGCAGGGCAAAAATGACTTGCACATTTTTGTTTCTCTTTGAACATGCAGTTGCCACAGGCACTGTTTCAGTTTCCTGCCAAAAATGAGACCTTTTTTCAAATACAAAGCTACATCAAATGCTACCTAAAGCCTTACCCAGACACCCAAACCAACCCCTGTTGTACACCAACCTTAGCAGGCTTTGAGTAACGATGTTGTAGTTCATGCTCCTGATTATGTGCTTCTTGGTGCTTCTCAACAGCAACTATGGACAGCTGACAATTTTATGGGTGAGAAAATATGTATCACACTGCTTCTCTGGCGCCTTTGCCATTCATTTTTGTAGTTGTGACTTAGAAAAACAGCTCTGAAATTTGGTTCTGTTTTTAGGTGGTTTCAGCAGTTTCAGCATGTAGCATAAAGCACACACGTACTCAGGTGTGACATGTAGGAAAGACCACACAAATATGGATTATTTATCCAGCAGGCATCTCAGAGCAGCTCATCTCAGCACTGTCACCTTATGAATATTGCTCTGCCTTCCTGCTTTTTCTTCCCATGCTGTCCCCATCTAGTTTTTTGGGTTTAGGGTGGTTTTCTGAAGACTGATTTTAAAGCCCTGGTACTTTCAAGGGGGTGTGAGTTGTCAGACTCAAAGGTGGCCATTTCACCACCTGTGAAGTCTCCCATCAAAAGCTGAAGCTATTTAAGTTGCTTTTCTCAACCACCAGTGGAAGACTGTGGTATTGGCACACATCACACCATCCTGAAGTCACATCTGCCTGATGGCAGCTTAGCTGCAAGTGTTTAAAACAGCTCCTTTGGGCCTCATACTGTGGCATTCACATCCTCTGAAAAATCCCTTCGCTCAGGATTTTTCTCCTGGGAAGCTGAGAAGCCTCAGAGAAAAAGGAAAACAATAATTATCTGATTTGCTTCTCCTGTGTTTTGCTCGTCTGGAATGTGTTTGGAGATTGTTTACCCACAGGTGATTGTTCCATTGGATTCTGCTGGGAGTTGTTTTCACTCATTGGCCAATCAGGGCCAAGCTGTGTCGGGACTCTGGCAAGAGTCACGAGTTTTCATTAGTATCTTTTTAGCCTTCTGTAAGTATCCTTTCTGTATTCTTTAGTATAGTTTAGTTTAGTATTCTTTAATATAATATAGATGACAAAATAATAAATGAGCCTTCTGAGAACATGGAGTCAGATGCATCATTCCTCCCTGCAACAGGGCTCTCTGCAAATACAATATCAAACCCTACAGAGCTCAGAACTGCACTGCAGGCCTTGGGCAGTGCAGTTCTGCATTGGATGCTGCACATGCCTGTGCTCCTTCCAAAATATTGCAGAGGCTTCTGAAAGTTGCAGGATGAGGTTTTTCCTGGTTAATGGTGGAGGCACAAAGTTCTTTCTGTAAAGAAGAAAGAATACATGTACAGTCATTTTGCAAGTATTTCCATGAGGTTTTTCACATCCCAGGACACTGCAGAGATCGTGTGTATGTGTGTGTGCCCGTGTGGGTACATGCCTGTTGGGGGGAGGAACAGGAGACGAGAAGTGGGCACTGAGTCAAAGATGTGATTTCCAGTTTATTGCTGGCAGATGTTTGTTTCAGCTCAGTCTCACGTCACTCATAGGAATGACCCAGCAGAAGATCAAAGGATGGGATGAATCTCTCTTCTAGAGGCTGCCCATACCATGTGCTTCACCTTGGGATTTCAACAAGGGCTCCTGCAGCCCTGAAGCCAGCTGCCCTGGCCCTGGCCACACTAACACTCCATCAGTTTTCCAACCACAAATCCCTTAACTGACCCAGAGAAAGGCCTAAGAGGTTTGGGAGTGAGAAAGCAATTGTATTCCAGAACAAAGCCAGGGTTAAAACACAAAGTATGTCCTATCTCTGAATGGCTGCAGGGAAACCTCGAAGCTGTGTGCAGGAGTGCTGTAAAGTGGGACAAGCAGCACATGTGAAGAGATGGTGTCAGCCTCCTGTGAAATTCATCTGACCCTGGGCTAGTCCAGTCCCATCCATGCAGAGGTTTCAGGAGCTGGGACTGGCTTAAAAGCTGGCCATGCTTTTTTCCCATGAGATACTTGTGTACTGAGCAAGAAAAGTGGGAGTAATTACTGGAGTAATTTTCTCTTGCTGCACAGGCACTGGCACTAAGCAAAGCCTCTGACTCAGAAGTGTTTCTTGATACTGAAATCAGAAGACAATTACTCTATTCTTCTTCTGCAGCATTATGTGTCTGGAGCAGATTTCCATTTTGATGAAATTTCACTCATCTAACATGAAAAAGAAGTGGTGCCTGTGCATGGCCTGTCACCATATTTTGCACCCTGTTCCTCTAACAGGAATGCCAGCAGTGATGTAGGAAGACCCCAGTGCAACTCAGCAGTTCTGAGTGCAGGAGGGCAGCACATGCAGTGGGAGCCATGGGCAGAGGCCAGGCACACTCAGCTCCTGCTGCAGGGCCAGCACTGCTGCTCCAGTGCCTGACACATCTCCTTGGGCTGAGGAGAGTCCCAGGATGAGCCTGCCTCAGCTCCAGCAGATGGGGATTTGCTCCCAGAGCCAGGGGCAGCAGGAGGGGCCGTGGGACCCTCTCAGGGACCCACCCCAGCAGCTGCCACGGGGCAAAGCTGCAAGAGCAGCATTCAAACTGCTGGAACTCAGCAAAGGCAGACCAAGCACCTCCTGGCCAAGTGGGAAGACTGGTGGGACTAAAACCCAGCAGGGTTGTAGGGCCTTGCACCCACATCAAATTAGTTTTTTGAACAAAGAGTATGTTTCTCTAAGGTGCCAAGTTTCAGGCCAAAACCGTTTGAAATGCTTTGAAACTGCTCTTGAGAACTGGACCCTAAACAAAATCATCCCTCCCCCCAGGTGCTAGCACCAGGCTCTCTGTTCATTATTTATTATTGACCACTCCATAGTTTTTAGCAGCTACTCAAAGACTGACAGCTTGGTTCCACCCTGGTCTTGCACTTAGGAGAAAGGAAGTAACACATTTAGTACAAATACTGTTTTTAAAGAGAATAGAAGTTTCCTCCAGTGCTGGGGGAAGGGAAAGCAAAGGAAATATTTGTATTTCTTTATTAACCATAGAAACAGAGCCACTGTCCTGAGTCACCAGTTACAGTTCCCCATTAGGTGAGGTTGTCCCTTCCACAAAGCTGCCCCAGCCTCACCACACAACCACCAGGGCTCCTCTGTCCTCAGCCTCCATGGCAGCTCTTCCAGCAGTGCCTCATCTTTCCAAAGGATGGAAATACTCCTGCTACCCCTGGCTCCCATTTATTCCCAACATCTCTTGAATGGAACCTTTGGAACCTGCTCTTCACTGCCCTCACAGCTGGTGTTTTCATGGATTGAGTCAGCCATCATTTTTAGGTTCCTTTTGTTCTGTTATGAACACCTTCATCTCATCTCTGTTCACCTCCTTCTTCCCATGAAGCCATGTTCTGGGGGGAGAGCTGAACATGGCATTCCACAGGAATCAAAGCCATGAAGAGGGGCTTCATTTTTATCTCATTTCTTCCAGAAATAACTTACCCAAAGCATTTCAGAGGTTAACTAACAGCACTAGGATTGAGGAGATAGAGAAATCAACTAAGTTGCATTTCTGATGTTTTGCACCTCAAATACAATTAGAGGATTTGTGTAAATGTGATCCTGGTACCACTAAGAGAAACTGAGTAAGTTTTTCTTTTAACAGAGCACAAGCAGAAGAGAGATATGGGAAAGAGCTGGTTCAAATAGCCCGAAAAGCAGGAGGACAAACAGAAATCAAGTAAGGAATTCTTTTATTATTACTGCAAACAAAATTATTTTGGAAGAAATAGCAGACTCCTGTGTTTTGCCTGTGGATGAGGTCACAGCCACTCATTTCAGTGCATTACACAGCTCTTCCCAGGGAAGTGGGGAAACACCACAGTCCTTCACAGTGGGATTCGCTGTTTGTGAATAGTTTCTATTTAGAAACTGTCAGTAGGTCCTTTCCTGAGGTTTTTTTTTTTATTTAAAGATTCTTAATGTTTAATGTTTGCTTCCAAAAGCAGACCAAATGAAGGGGAAAAAAGAGAATGGAAAAGGTTGTGAAATGTTTAGGATGGTGGGATGGTGGCTTGACAGTTCTGGAAAGCTGGTGAACACTGAGAGACTGTGACAGAACAAAGACCCCAAAAATCAGCTTCTGCAGCAGAAAAAAGGCTTACCTTAGGAATACAAAATGTAAATCTCTTTGAAGGGACCTAATTTGAAATAATTCAATGGGACTACTGAAATACACTAAGATGACATATATTTTTCTCTGTCTCCTCCATTACTATCTTAAATTATGTATAAATTGTGTTGGGAGGGAAGATAGATATTGGTATGGAATTTAACTTAATAAACACTGCTGATAAACTGCTGCTATTATTGATGGCAGCAGCAATAATGAGACATTTTGTCATTATTGCAACAAGTAATAAGGTGGCAGAGGATGAAGATGAGGGGTCACAGAAGACAATCCTGAAAGAGAAGACCTCAATCTAAACACAAACCAGCTCTATTGATCCCTGGGGCCTGCTCCCCTCCTCCTCCCCATAGCTCATTCCTTAATTGCAGTCTCCTTTTCACCTTGATTTATCACTCCCAGTGCAAGTGGTTTCTGTCCATGTTTTATGGGAGAGCTTGACCCCAGAGCTGTGCCCTGCCACAGCAAGGCTGGCACAGGCACTGCTGGGCCTCCCCAAGTGCTGGGAATGCCAGGGAATGTGCAAGGCTTTCCCTGCCAGGGCTCCAGCCTGGCCCCTGAGCAGCACCCAGGGATGCCTCAGTGCCAGGAGATGCCTTCTGCATTCCTGGTGCCTCAGTTCACTGACCTCATGGGGGAAAAGGAAGGAAAAGAAGAAATATTCTGAAATTAAAGCATCAGGTTAAGAATGGATGGGTTTTTCTCAACCCAAAGGCCAAGATCAGCATTCCAGGATCAAAGAAAGGCTTCACTTCAACTCCTTTAGTGGCAACACAGGGCAGGCAGAGCAAATGTGTTCAGCAACAAGCAGCTTGTGCTGCCCTTCAGTAGCTCAGTGACAATTCATGGGTCTGCCTTTCCTCAAGAGATTATGAGAGTTTGATTTAGAAGCAGAGCCAAGTCCCATTGTTGGGATATGGATCCAAGTTCCCCTCAAGTTGGGGGAAGTTTGGACTTGGGCCCAGCTCCACTTTGATCCAGCAATTTTATAGCTTGGCATGGAGGGAAGGCTGAATACACAAACAAAGCTGTGCTGTGGGGCTGATTTACTGTTTCCATAACCCACACCTGGCCAGGGAGAGAGCAGCTCTGCACTGATGCTTTTATCAGAGCAAGTGTCTCACTGTGCCTGGTCTGAAGCAGAGAGGACACTTTCTCTCATCCAGCATCTTCTGACTGTTTAAGGAGTTACACAGATAGTGAAGGGCATTTGTCCAGGGCAAACAAAATTCAGAGAAAACTAAAGCCTGTCCAGGGCTGGAACAACACAAGAAAATGCAGTGTTTGGTTTTGATGCCTTAAAATGGTTGAATTTTCTGCGCCTGTGTGTTCTCCTCAGTGTGAAATTTCTGTTTCTGTGACATTGATTGCTGGCAGCAGTTCTGCCCTCAAGGTCAGTCCTCCAGGGAGACTTGAGGGAGGGAATCTATGTACTCCTTATAATAAGAAAAGCTTGAAAGGACTATGCTGCAACTGTGCCAGTGCATTTTTCCAAGAGTTTCCTCTTTATAGGACTCCTATTTTCATCTAGCACACTAGGTCCTGATAGAACTACAAGTACTTGATTGGCTGAGCAGGGCTGTTCACATCTTCAAATGCAGCTTTGGGTAGCAGTATTTCTTAAAGTCCAATGTATTTGTACCTAAAACTTCCATCTGACAATCACCAGGATAAAAGTAGCTTCCAGGGTGTTTCTGCAGACCTTCCTGTGCCATGCTATGTATGGAAGAGGAACAGGAATTACTAATTTTAAATTACTCAGTCATTTTCTTGCTCATACAAAATTATTATCCTCTACTCTTAAATTTAGCCACCTTTTAAATATCTCAGATACTGAGGCTTTCTGTTACTTCTCCTGGGAAATTCACACCATAGTAGTTCCCATAATATCAGGATACCTGATATCCTTTCAAAAAAATCTATAAAGGGAACATAAAAATTGCATCCACAACAAACACCCCAAACCTTCCAGTATGACAAAATTCCCAGAAGACCTTAAGAGAAACAACTGCAAGGCTGAGGTTGATATTTCAGCACAGTCAGGATAGCACAAAACAAGGTGCAGAGAATAAGCAAATGAGTAAATGGCAAGGACTAGAGCAGCCTGGAGAAGGTGATGGCACACTGCACCAGGGAGTGGCCATTGCTGCAGAAAACGCTTCTCTCCAAAGCCTCCCCCATATTTTAAATGCTTTTATGTTTGAATCAAAGAAAAAAACAATTTCAACCTTTTTTCAGGCTTGCTCCTTCTCTCCCCAAATTCTGCTTCAGCTGGAGCAATTGCTGAACTCAGCTAAATGTATAAATAGATTCTACTGCCCTTTTTTGTTCACCAGAGACACAGATGAAGGAATGTGCTGCTGACTCCAAAGATTGTAGGGAGGGTTCACTGGAATGTAGCAGCAACTCTGGTGCCACTCTCTCTTGCTTGGAGAAGGCTGCAGGTGGCAGCAGCCATAAGGATGCCCTCCTGTTTCCCTGGATATCCCTGTATCCTCCTGCATCCCTGGGTGTTGCCATGGCTCCAGCCCCTCTGATGGAGAGCTCTGCCCAAGCCTGGCAGGGACAGCCCCAGGCCAGGCACACAGGGCCAGCACCAGCAGTGACAGCAGTGACCAGGGACAGAGAGGGGCTGTGTCCCCTGAGGAGTGCCCAGGAATGTGGGAGCACTCTGAGCTCAGGGCCAGCAGGGACAGGGCCTGTCCTGAGTGTCAGCAGCAGTGACTGAGCCAGGGCTTGCTGCTCCTGTGCACAGCAGGGTCAGGATTGGCCCTGGGAGCCCAGAGGTCAGAATGTGCCTGACAGCACCAAAACCAGCAGGGCAGACACACTGCACCTTTTCTTATTTCTAGAAAAAGCCAGGATGGGGTTTCTAAAAGCAGCTGGTGCTGGATACCACTGACAGAGCAAACAAATCCAGCTCAAGAAGTCAAAGTTGCCTCCAAGTGCTGACAGCCAAAGGGCAGCAGCACTGCACAGGCTGCTGCTCCTTCCCAAAGCACTGCAGGGGTACAAAAACTCCTTCCCTCTTCCCCAGCCAGGGCACAGCTCTCACTCAGCACCTGCCACAGGCCCTGGCCATTCCAGGGCACAGAAGGATGCACACACTTCAATCTAAGGCTGCAAGAAGGATCACACAAGCTCAGACTAACCCCTTGAGCTGGATATTCTGTCCCCGACACTGGGTCTCAAGGGAAGGGTAGAACAACAGGGCAAGCATATAAAGATATTTCTTCTAAATAATCTCCTGGCCATAGCAATCAGTAAGTTCACAGGATGCCACACCAGTAGCAGCTTTCTAAGGAATAGCCTCCACTGTTTTCTTGTTCTTATTTGAAGCCCTGAAACATTTTAGCATCCACTGAGTCAATAGGTAAAGCAATGTATGCCTGGTATCCCACTTTTAAAGCTAAAAAAATTAAATCTGCATCACCATTTCCTAGTCTCTACTCATAAAAGAAATTATAAAAAGGTGATGACAAACCTACAGCCATGTTTTCTTGGCAAATGACAGCTTATACCATATCCAACAGGGGAGAAAGAACTACAGGTTTTGAAGTTTAAAGTGCAGTATTTGTACTCTCAGTGGTGCACACATGGGAGAGGATGTACAGAAACTGGGATTTTCAGCCAAGCTACAGACTGAGATCACAGCTGCAGTTGTTTCTGGGGGTGTGCACAGCAATGATGCCTCTCACACTGGAGATGATTTTCAGCAGAGCTTCAAGTGCCTTTAAGAGGAATCACCCTTCTGGCTGCAAGGTGCCTGGGAATCTCCAAGCAGAGGCTTTGGGCAGCTCCTCAGCACAGCAACATGAAAGCAGAAAATGCTCCAGAGCCCAGTTCTGAGCTGCAGGCTCAGCTTCAGCCAAACCAGGCCCTCTGGGAACTGTGTTCTGTAAAATAACTGATGCAAACACACACTAGCTGGTTAAACTCTGCCTAGGCTGACAACAGCTATTTTTGTCATTTGCTCTGCTTGTCTCTTCTCATGTATATGATTTCCTACATTTTTCATCCCTTTTTTCTACTACCACCTCCTTAGGACCTCAGGAAAGGGTAGCTCCTTCAAGCCCATGTGTGCTCTGCTCTTCTCTGTGGTGCCTGAAATAGAACATTTCAGTGAGTGGGAGGTGAGGGCATCTGTAATGAAATGCCAATTGCTGTTTCCTGTGGATAAAAATAGTGCATCTGTCACTTAATATACAAAATCCTCTGTGTTACTCCACACAAAGCAGGCATTTTTGAACTGAAGCTAAAAGTCAGTGTGGAAGGTCACATCCTTCCATGGTTGCTTATTCTCCACCCAAATGTTCTGAACCCACCCAGAATTTATAAACTAGCACTTTGAACTTTCAGGACTATGAAAATGGACCTAAGCCTCTGCTCAGTCCCTGTTCAGTTTGATCTAGATAAGCTCTCTGCTGATGAGGACAGGCATTTTTGAGCAGTGCTGCTCTTTCTGAGAGATGTGAGGAAATTTAGTCTTGTGGTAAAGGCACAAAATTTGTTCTGACTGTTTTAACCTTTGATTTGGATGGCACAGCTCATTC